GGACCTGGTCCTAGACTAGTGATGGATCTGCAGGGTTTCTGCGCACCTCAAGACGTAATGCTTCCTCTAGTTTCCCGAAATCTCAAAATTCCCAATTGCTGTCTTGTCGCACTAAATCGCCTCAAATTACATGTAGCTTATCGAGAATCAACGCTGCGAAGCCATTCGTTCCATCCAGCTTTTGCATCCTTTCTAGAGATCATACACAATAAGTTAATTTGTCGCTATAGTCATTGGTTGATGCAATTGGCGGCAGTTCGAGAATTTTCCTACTATAGGCCTTGACGATTTCGTTTTCTTTACCGTATTTCTCTTCTAAGATTGCTCGAGCCCGATTGTAGTCTTCGGCGGTAAACGGAAGCGCCTCGTCATCTCGTCGTACCTTGTCGCAAAAGGGTTCTTTTAAATACGAGAGTTTCGCCACGCTTGCCAAGCCAGATTTCTCAACTGTTTCGTTAAATTCTCCCCAAAACCGTGTCCAATCCGTATACAAACCGTCATATTTCGAAATTACTGATTTCGGAACCTCTCCGCCAACTTCCTTCGCTGTTTTGACCGTTTCTGCGCGTCGTGTTCTGACTGAAGGTTCAACATCGACTCGTGAAGCTTCATTTCAAATATGAATTGTTCTCCTCGCGATGTAACTTCCTTCGCTTGATTAAACTCGTCTTGCCAAATTGTAATCCGCTTGATATCGTCATCAGCTTTTTCTACATCCGCCTCGATCTTAGCATTCCACTCTACGATTTCGTCGTCGTTCGTTCTTTTAGCGATAAAATGCACTTCAAATTCTTGTTTCGCAACAATGACATCAAAGCATCTAGCTTCGTTTGACAATGACTTCAAAGCATCCAGCTGGCGTATAATAACCGTATTATTGTTAGGTACTAGCAGAGTCCCTGTTCTCGAACAAGTTATGAGCAGATGTTTCAATTTATTCTAAAACAAAGATTTCGCTGTGTCATACTCCAACATACTTGATCGTATGCGTTTTCGCCGCCAAAATATCCCCTTATTCGCAACTAGGTCGCTCCATATTCTCTAAAATCCCGTCGCTTGAGGTGCAACTTGAGGTGTTGGGTTGTGAATGTAATTGTGAGAAACTGTACATCACATATGTATATTTTGTTCACGTGAACACTTATATACACTACATAGTTGATATTTATCGAACAATTAGTTGTATGTATGTCCTGTCAATCATGTAATCGTATTGGATATTGTACGGTATTGTGTGCTCGATTGAGAATATAGTGTGGGAGTTGTTTAACGAAAGCGATTAAATTTAAAGATCAAATCTACGAAGCGAACCCTGAACGGTATTTATTACATGGCGCCCAACGTGGGGTGGGCTTTTTAAGAATATTAAAAGTCTGCTATTCGAATGAACGATGTCGACGAAGGAGAGACTAGAAAGGCTACGAGCACGGCGAGGTGGCCATCGCGGCGTGTCTACCAAACTTATGAAAGAAGCGACCGAGTTGCTGAAGACTCCTGAAGCAGAAAATATTGAAAGATGTGAAGTTATATAGCTGCTCAGCTTAAGGAAAAGGTGACATTATTTGTCCAAATTGACGAGGAAATTTTAAACTTATGCGATGTAAGCGAAATCGAAACGGAGATCGAAGAATCAGCTGGAATCGGATAGAATATCCGAAACGAAACGAAAAATCGACAAGCAGATAAACGCTACTAAAAAATATACGATGTTATTACGAGCGTAAACGATGCGAATGCGACTTCAAGCTCAACTACAGAGCAGGAAAATGCGACGAATACAAACGAAAGTTCAACGACAACAACGACGACGACCGTGGGGAATGAAAACGAAGGAAATACGAGTTTAAATTCAGGAAACGATTCACCTTTAAGACGGCAATCAGCAATGTCGGCTATTGGTACAAATATTTCAGCAACGTCATTAGGACATTTCACATCAAGTTTACCAAAACTACCGAAGTTGGAACTCCCCAAATTTGGAGTTAAAGTGATTGATTGATGTTCTTTTTTGGACTTATACGATTCATCGATTCATAGCAATCAAACTATTTCGAAAGTTAATAAGTTTGACTATTTACATTCGTTACTCGAAGGGCAAGCAGCGCGAGCAATAAAAGGTCTTACATTTAGCAGTGCAAATTATGACGCTGCGATAACAATTCTGCATGAAAGATTTGGGAAATCTCAGCAGATTATAGCGGCCCAAATGAACGAAATTTTGATGGTACAAGCCTGTACCAATGGCAAAACAAATCAGTTGAGATATGTTTATGATCAAATAAGAGTTTATGTCCGAGGCTTAGCGTCTATTGGGGTTTCATCACAGCATTGATAGCAATACGGAAATATGTTAATCCCAATCATTATGTCAAAATTGCCCAGTGAAATCCGTCTCGAAATTGCTAGTCAACTACCGAGGTTTGGGAAATTGATGAGCTGCTTGACACAATGAAAACGGAAGTTGAAGCACGGGAAGTAAGTGAAGGAGCTCAGTCAAATCTACAAGGTAAAAAATCAGGTGCCCCACTCTACTCCCCTAGAGTACCCTCTGCTGGTGCATTCACTGCTCAAGACCGAAGTGGTAAACAAATTCAATGTGTTTACTGCAAAGAATTTCATTTTTCGGCATCATGTGATCGTGTGACCAACCCAAATGAACGCAAAGATATATTGAGGAGAGACAATCGCTGTTTTGTATGTTTGGGAAAAGGGCATCGAAGTTCCCGGTTTATGTCAAAGAAAAGTTGTCGAAATTGTAACATTCGACATCATCAATCGATATGTGAAGCCTCTAAGCCCCCTAATGATGTACCACCTTCCTTCGGAGTAGATAAATCAAACGCATCCCATGGAAACGAAGAGTCATTTTCCACGAAAGATCCTCAAAACACCAATACCACCACTGTGATAAATGGTAAAGACAAAATGACTCCCCCCGAGAATTCTATTGGGACAGATAAGTCAACTGTTGCAGATAATTCAATGACGACTACAACAGCCAAAACCCGAAATAAAGTCCTACTACAAACAGCAGTTACATATGCGTAAGTAAAGAATGGTTCAAATTCAATACCAGTTTGTTTACTTCTCGACAGTGGTAGCCAGCGTTCTTACATCACCAACTCATTGAAGAAACGACTCGAGCAGGCTCCTATTCGAACCGAGACCCTTAATTTGAATACCTTTGGCAATGATCACTTTAAAAAACGACGATGTGATGTAGTCTAGTTAGTACTGAAAGGAAACAGTGGTCGCTGAAAAATAAACGCACTTTGTTTCCCAAGTCTTTGCTTACCTTTGACAAGCACAATCGATCTTAGTTTATATCCCCACCTACAAGATTTACAGCTTTCAGATTCCAATATCATCGAAGACGTCAGAACAATAGCAATATTAATTAATATACTCATTGGTGCGGATTATTACTTAATTGATATTCTTACGGGTGAAATGATACGTGGTGAAAGTGGTCCTGTAGCTATCAATAGTGAATTTGGGTGGGTCGTTACTGGACCGACTGGTAACATAGAATCATGTTCTGAGGTATCTGAAGCACATTTGCTGACCGAGGAGAAAGAAATGTTCTACAACAACCTCATCACGGAGTACAACGTGAAGATAAAGAGACTACGAAATTGAGAGTCGTATTCGATGGTTCAGCAAGATCGTCCAAAGATGACGTGTCTTTGAACAATTGTCTTGAAAAGGGGCCGAATTTAGTCCCACATCTGTTCGATACCGTAGTAAATTTTCGTGGCTATCCTATCGGACTTATCGTAGATATTGAGAAGGCCTTTCATCAAATTGCAATTGTTCCTGATGATCGAAAGATATTGAAGTTTCTTTGGTTCGAGGATGTCAATCAAGATTCCCCAACTGTCAAGGAATATGAGTTTCGACGCCTGCCATTTGGTTTAACCTCAAGCCCTCCTATCCTGTCCAGCATTATAGCTCATCATCTTTCAAAATATAAGGAAATCGAGCCAGAAATTGTCGCCTTGCTATTTGAGTCCCTGTATGTGGATGATTTTGCTGGAGGGGCTTATGATGACGACGAAGCACTGGCTATCTATCGAAAGTCTCCAGATCTAATGAGTAAGGGTGGTTTCAAACTTCGAAAATTGCATTCGAACTCTGAATACATTCAAAATTGCATCTCAGTACAAGAAAATGCTATCGAAGGCTCGAAGGACGAAATGCCTAAATCAAAGTTAAAGCACAGCAGTTGCAATACAAAGAATGACACTGAAGAAAGCCTTGTCCAAGATTCGTTATCATGCCAAACATCACAAAATCCCCTGGCGTCTAAGCAGAATTGCCTAAACATTCTTGGGACAAGTTGGAATGAGTACAGCCATGAATTTTGTTACGATCTCAGCGAATTAATTGAATACTCTAATTCCCTTACCCGCTGTGCTCAAACTTTCAGCCAAGGTCTTCGACCCTATCGGTCTTTTCGCTCCGTTTACAGTAATTATGGAGATATTATTTCAAACCCTCTGTTCTGGTAGCATAGATTGGGATGACGAGTTAGACGGCAAAACATTAGCAAGCTGGAGTCTCTTGTAAACGATCAAAGCCCTGAGTGATATACGTGTGCCACGCTGTTACTTCCACCATACAGAGGAATTGTCTCGAATCCATAAGATTCACGGTTTCAGTGATGCTTCAGATCTTGCGTTCGCTGCTGTCGTGTACCTTCGCACAGAGTATAGTAATGGAGATGTTGAATTGTCCTTGATCACGTCCAAGACAAGAGTCGCACCTATTAAAAGACAAACTATACCGAGTCTCGAGTTGTTAGGAGCAAATATACTAGCCCGATTGGTCGACAGGATTATCAAAGCACTCACGTCAATCAAGTTAATAACCCATGTTGTCTTATGGACGGACTCGTTCATCACTTTATGTTGGATTCGAAACTATAAGGTATGGAAGACTTATGTTCAGAACCGAGTAAACGAGATAAGAGAGCTAACAAGCAACTACGACACCCGTGTCACATATTCTCAGCGGCTGTAACCCAAGATTTCTCAATTGAGAAGTGCAGGTCTAACCCAGGCCAAATGATCATCTAAATCATTCAATATAATATTAAGCGACCAATCAGAATACTTGATATAAAACAGTTTAATCTTTGATTTGGTTGTATTTTATTAGTATTCAAGAAAATTTCGCACTTCACTTCGGCGCAATTTTTTACAATTATGCGAAAGGCGTGCGTAAAAACTGTTGTGTTGGGAAGAAATGGAAAATCGTCAATAACTACACCGTTAACTGTTGATGTAGAAACAACAGCTTCAAATAAGCATTCGACAAGCCTCCACGCAGATTTGCATAGTGACGAATCGTGCGATTTGCAAATCGATCATAACGCTCAAACGCCTCATGAATTACCAGTCGTTGACGATTTAGAAAATGAAGAATCGGCCACACAAAGAAGAAATGTTAGTAATTATCTCAACTGGGAAAAAATTCGGCCTCAATTGCTGAAAGCAAAGTTCGAAGATGCGATTTTACCGAGTGGTGTCATGTGTGGTGTTTGCTCTCAAAATGAAGCCAATATTCGCTGTAAATATTGTGGTCCACGGCAGTTTTTTTGCGAGAACTGTGCTATTGAACAACACGAAAGTCGAAATAAGTTTCACGTGATGGATAAATGGATGGTATTGTCTATTATTAATGTTGATTAAAAAAACTTTAAAAATATGATAATATTTGCTAGCTTTTAAAAGCTCTCCTCCGTGGCTTAATTTCTATAAGGAGAAGCCAATTTAATGGCATAAACGTACGTCAAAGATGTCGTTTCATTCTATAATTTCTATTCTATTTAATAACTATTTGCAACCTACATGTTACATATTTTCAAGATTTTAAAGATGTTGGTCTTTTGCAATACTGTAATATGCTATTTTCACACATTCAGTAAGACTTAAAAAGTTAAAATTCAAATGTGTTCAGGCAAATTAAACCTGCTTTAACCTACAAAACCTACATTCTTTATTTCTTAGGAAACTAAGTTCATCCCACTGTTTCCAGACAATTCTGTAATTGAGTGGGCCCACAATTGTGGGACACAAATTGTCAAGTTGTTTACACTTATTGATGCATTTGGTAAGGAATTTGTTCAGTATTCTTTGTTTGCATTAAAGCTACTAAATCTACAAGGTCAAACTTTCCAACAACTTAAGTATCAAGTTGCATAGGAATTAAAGCTTACCTAATTAAGCAGAGGTTTTATTTCTCCAAACTTTTAAACAGATTAGCCATCCATAAATACACAAACAAAAGCTGCATGCTAAAATTTCAACAAAAGTTAGACTATGATTAAGCTTTTATAACCAGAAACCCCATGCCATGATCATTAATTAACCCTCAGATATAATGCAGTTGCATGGATTAACTAAACAAGTGTGTAATTTCATTTTTTCTGCTGTAGAACAATATTGTTTAACAACCTTGTCTATTGTATGTTGGAACAATAGATATTATTTGGACTGTGAGAATTAACTGCAATAATTTTAATTTAATTATTGATTGCTATTGAATATTGCTACTACTTTCTATGATTGTTAGGTAATCAACACTTGAAGCGAGTGGCTTTTTGCAGTTGTGAAAGCCATGCTGTGACACTACTCCGGTTGCATTTCTGGCCTGGCTCTCCAGAAAGGCCTACTATTGGCTTTCATTTTAGAATTATGGATTTAGCTGAAAAGTTGTTTCTACATAATCAGGTTCCTTTGAAGGATTTTTCTGAGATAATCATGGAATTACTTCCATCACTGCAACCTGTTCATGTAAGTATTCAAAACCCTAAAATATAATATACAGAATTACTTTTCAATCATTCAGTTGCATGTATTCCACCCTTATTTTTCTAATTAGTTTAGAGCCAAAATATCAATTTTGGAAGGAAAAAAATTTAGACTGAAAAACTATTTTCTACATTTCAGGTTAAATCCTTTTACCGCACTTTAAATTCTGGATCTTTTGAGGAATACAGGTATGTACACTTTATTAAGTCATGCCTATTGATATATACCCTCTCTTTTACTGGCACACCCCAGTTATATTATACTTTATATTATACATTTTGCAATTAGTATGATTAGTACAATTATTATAATAGTATAAAAGATATAGGTACCGGTATTTTTTTTTTTTTCAAGATATTTTAAATACAAATTAAAATATCTGGATTCCTATATCCCAGGGCTATATAACGGTGTCATTTGTCCTATATGCCCAACGGTAAGAAATAATTACTTTGTTACAGTATTTATATTTTTTATTTATTTAATCAAGGTTTGCCATTATTTTGCCATGAAGGGCTTTACAACAGCTTATCTCCAAATATGTTATAGTAACTGTCATGCATGTAGTAGTTATAGGTTAAGAGAAGAAACTCTTAAAAATAGATGAGAACCAGCTTATCTCAACTTACATTAATTAGTGAAAAACACTGATATAATTTACTTGTAATTTACATTAATTAGTGTTTCATTTAGAGATTTAGATACCTAGGTTGCATTGCATGGGATACCAATAGTAATGCACTGTATATATGTTCACCCAGTGTGGTACTCTTTCATTTCATCAATGAATATATGTTTAAGGTCAATTCTATGTATATACCTATAGGAAAGTGGAACCTTAATTGAATGTGTTGATGCATGTTTTGGTCTGCCAAGAAGGAAAGGGAAAGGTGATATAAGCATTTCTTCACGCCACAAGACATTGTTGTTCAGCGATCAAGATGATGTTGATAACTTTGTTGATAATTATGAACACACAAAAGAGAAATCACAAACACAGGTAATTGTTTAAAAAGACGTTTGATTTGTTGCAAGCAATTTGTTAATGTGATTTGCAAAAAACTGTTTTAATATTATTTGTTTTTAAGGACTGTCACAGATTTCATGCTGGTGAAGTAATTTCAGCAATTAGAAGTAAAGGCAAAAATAAACTTTTTGATGAAAAAGGAGTGTTTGGCAGGGTTTGTCGGCATGACTTTCCAAAAAGCTTACTCAGCATCAAACATGGTGAAAGGTACATTCTTTTATCACTTACTATTTCACTGGTTAGCTATATTGTGAATACCCTGTTTTTATCATGCTAGACCAAATTCCATAAATAGTTTTAGAATTCTTATTAATCACATTTGATCACTATTTATATTCAGTTGTGTCAAGAATAGTAATTAGCATTAACATCTATAAGGTTTTTTTTACAGTAATCATCAACCACTTTCTATGTACCAACTATTTAAATGCACAAAAACATTTTGTGCGAATTCACCTTGTAAGTAAATTTCGCATCATTTTAGAATTTCCTATGCTGTATATGAGCTAGAAAAACTAAAGGCTGGCATTTCTGCAGAATCACTCAATTATGTTCTGATGTACGACATTGCCTGTGTTTTATCAAACCACCTGCAGGTTCTGTGTATAATTGCATTTTATTATTTTTATTTGGTATTTTCAAAAATCAGCATGATTCAAGAATTAATGATAATAATGTTCTAAATACAAGCATGCAATTTTTTTATGAAGGGCTCCGGCCAGCAGTCTTTGCTGTCGAATACAACTCTTGCAATACCAATATTTCATTGTTATGGGCATAAAGCCTCTTGCCAGGTAATTGTTTAAAAGAATTACATTTATGCGAAATGGACTGCATCTTTAGGACTTTAGAACAATTCCTTTAAGGCAGATTTCAAAGTTGTATGGCAACCGACCGTTCAAGTCCACATTCAATTTAGGTCAAATATAGTCCACGAAGAAAGGCGAATGTTGGTTTAACCGATGGAGAAGGCGTTGAGCGTTTTTGGTCATTTCTTAGACAGTTTTCCTCAATAACCAAAGAAATGTCTGTTGATAAAAGAAGTGATGTGCTAACTGACGCTACTATCCATTATGGTGAACATCTTGTTGCAAAATTTGGTAATATAATAGAAATTCAGTAAATCATTACCACTATTCGCTGTTCTTAGTGTGGATTCTCTAGGGTGCGGCCCAAGTTTATCTTTTTTTCATTACAGTCACACAACACAAAGAACCTCAAATTTTTTATTGCTAGTATGATCTTTTTTAAATTATAGGTCCTTCTCTAAAGTCGAAGCTCGTTAGGGCGCAGTCTTTGCTGATCACTGTTGACCAAGAATTGAGCAATTTAATCGCGAATTTGCCAGGTACGTTTTTCACAAGCGACTCGAATTCAAGTGCTTAAAATAATGACATTTTCTAGCAAACGCCTACCGGTACATATGACATGGTTACGTTCGTGTTTCTTATTATGATAGATGAGTGTAATGAGGCTAAAATTCGGAGCTGGATCAAGGAACAATTTGAAGAAATTGCACCAGTTATGGAAGGTAAATAGGTAAAACGTGCGGTGATATGCTGATGGATTTAACTAAGTGTACTTCCCACTTTTATAGTATACCTTTTTTAAATGGGATGTGTGGTTTTTTGTATATGAGTGAAAAGCGGACTAGTTTTCCTTTTGAAGCTCTGAAAAATTATTGCTAATAACCAGAATTCCGTTTCGATAGAGATACAAGCTGTTTGGGGAAATTGAGATCTGTGTTTTTTACAAATATCAACAATAGCCTACTAAAATAAAGTCTAATATTTTATCGCCTAGACCTTGAATACCAGTGGGATGAATCTTATGTGGATTTACTTCTTTCAGCAAAAAAGTTGCGGTAACAAAATATTTTATGCAGAGAATAACAATTTCGGAATATGGCACTGCATATAACTTAGTTCACACTTATAAATGCTTATTCTGGTATGACTGCTTTTCCTATGGCATTGCTAGACATTTCACTTGTGACAGGATCTTCGCGGTGTGCAAATGTATTTTGTTCTTGATATTTGGATTTTGTACTTTTTTCAGAAACGAAATGAGTTTTTCAAGAGAGGAAGAGCCGGAAAGGATTCCCAACATTGAGAGAAGGATAAGTAGGTGGGACATGCGGCTATACAGTGATAATTAAACAGACTGCTGTCTGTTCAATTATTAGTTGTTATTACATCTGCTGTTGTTATTGCAGGTATTCGTATTGCAGCTGTACTCTTCCGTCTGGCTATTGTTATTAGTTGATTCCTAGTTGGTTTTTTAGGAATGAAAAAGCGTTATATTCCCTGGAGAAACGTCATGGTGTTCGAACAAGATGGAAGAAAAAAGAAAAAGCATATCAAAATGCGTATACAAGACTTATTGCCAAGAAACAGCAAAAGTTACTTCATACCCTTCATAGGATGGCGTCGGAGAGAATGTTTTTATTAGAACTTAAAGCAAAATATGCTGGTATAGAAATATTTCTTTTATGCTCTTTTACTTATCACATATATCAAACAATTTGCGTGCGTTTCGCCGTTAAAACGAGAAATTCCATGCCCAACAATTTACATCACGAAAGGAAAAACTAAAAAAACGTTTTAAAGATTTCTGTGGTTTTTGCATTTCAGCACGTTCCATAGCTGAACGTTTTGATTTACGCGTGGTTTTCGCATTTAAACCAGAAATCGGATTCTAAACTACTTACATCAAGAAAGGAAATCTTAGAAATACTTTTCAATATTATAAATTTTGAAATATTTGTTGCCATTTCTGTCAACGAACAGAAGGGAACGCGTTGATGGAAAAAAGAAAGGAGGTGGATAAGGCGGAAATACCATGCTTAAAATAAAAGGATTACGAAAGTATCTGGAAGCTATGATCCTGCCTTCCGACACCTTAACAAAATGTATCCATTCACTAGCAAAAATAGCGATCAAGTCCGAAGCGATATAATAGGCCATATTCTGTCGGTCAAAAAGTCGCTTAAAAACAAGTTTTGTTCCCCCCTCACGGGGAATACTTTTTGACAAGCAAAATCTGTAGATTATTATGTGTAAAATTCAAATTCACTTGTTGTAATTTTCACAAACCTGCAGTTTTTTAGTACAACACCGCCAAAGTTTCACGAAATCAACACATTTCGCAATTGTTCGCCGCCATTTTTCATTAAACTTTCGTTAATGTTTAAATGAAGTTTGTCACATTCCGCTGAAAAAAATCCCTGGTACAACGGCTCAGAATGTCAACATGGCGCAGGTTTTAAGGGCGATACTGTACAATTTTAGTTACTTTTCATCAATTTATGGCTGGTTTCGTCAATTTATACGTTTTTAAAGTTTTTGGATTAAAGATAGATGTATGCCTAATCGTTTACTTACTGGTGGACTGGAGAATATTTTGAAACTTCCTTTCAATGATTACATACTTAGTAACTCGTCATCATCACTGACATCATCATTGTCATCAAAGAGATCGCAATCATCTTCTGATGTGCTTCCATCCTCATCCACTTCTACCGTATTGCTACAGCTTTCACAAGAACACAAGTCACTGCATTTCAGTTGAGCTTTAAAGCAAGAACATCTTTGGCTTGTACATCCTTTCTTACATGTGCACTTCACAATTTCAAGGAGGGAATCTGGTGCGGCAGGAAGTGTCATCCACAAGATCTTATATTCGCCATCTAATATCCACCCATTCCCATCAGGAGATGGAATATTCATATGAGATGACAGAGACTGATTCCACACAGCTGTTTGATAATTAGCTCTCTCAATGTGTTTCAAGAGACAATCAGAATTTGGTGGTAACACATCATCTGAATATTTCCCTGATTTGAAGAGGTTATATCTGCATTCATCAGTATTAACAGCAATCTTATCGCCATACATCAAACACACAAACCGGTGGAGTTGGCTGACTATGAGGTCAGATGGTGGAAACATGTTGCCCAGCATGCCAAAAGTTTCTGTAAATTCTGGATTTTCAGATAACGTTTTCCAAACTTTAACTTTTCCCTTTCCATGAAATGAGCTTGTGGAATCACAGCCTATACAGTTATTTAAATATTTTAAATCTGTTAAACATTAATTGCTTGAAATTCACTTCGTTTTTTAAAAAAGCATGCTGTCAACAATGTTGCACAATACCTGAAAATGCATGAAAACCTAGCAGACATTTGCATGTGTCTTCACCAAGTTTTTCGCAAATTGTGTTTATATGAATACAGCGAAATTTATTTCCTGAGCCCGTCATCATGTAAATATCCTTCTCAATCACATGTTGCATGGCAGTGCAAAGAACGAGAACGTCAGTGTCAGGACTTCTGATTATTACTGTGTCATACGTGCTTGCGGCATGCTTGGCATGCAACAATAGGCGAGTATCTGCCTCCTCATGGTTGCTATCAAGTGGTGGAAACGAGGCTGTTCTAACAGGGTCATCTCCATTTCGACCGGGACGGTATATGTAACATTTATCCTTAGATGTTGCGTACAGAACAGAGACAGAAGCAAGCTTGGATGACTTATATGATTTCCAATGTTTGATGAAGAATTCGAGCAACGCTTCTTTGTTTTCTCCAGAGCTCAGAAATTTTTTCCACTGCTTAGGAATGTTCTGCTCTTGGCTATATATGTGTACTCGTTGAACTCCTTCTGTAGCGCGTCTTACTCGCTCAGTGTTCTTGATACTTAGAGCAAGATACCTGTCAGCGACAAAATCTAGTCTTAATGCACGACAATCGTGAGCTAATTTTATGAGGAAACGGAAAACTGAATCCGCAAAATCCCCAAATGTTTTCCAGTTTCCTTTCAAGCACTGCACAACAGCCATGGCGTCTACAATGAGTGCGTTATCATGAGGGATGTCTGTTTGATCCACATGTGGGTTTTCGCCTTCTCGTTCCAGTATCTCCGCCAATTTTGATTTTGCTGTCTTTAAAAAACTACCACTTACGGAGGCAAGTGACAAGGGATATGCACCAAGGCAATAAGACAAGATATTTTGCATATCAACGTCCCGGCTTTTTGCAACAAGTAAAAGCTTTGCAAACAAGTTTCTACTCATTTTGAGTCCAGTTTCTTTTCCGCCACTGTTTTTTATCCCTGTTTTAGTTTTCTGGATAGAGGGAAGCTTGTTCTTCTTAATTGTTTGGAAAATATCTGGCGTTTCAATAGCGAGATTGTTTTTAACAAAATCTTGAAATTGATCTTCTCCACTCTGTTCTGCTCCAAGTAAACTTTTGGCAACATTGTCATCAATGACAAATCCACTTGCTAACGATACTAAGCTCTCCTGCTCTGCATCAAACGGTTGTAACATATTTGAAACGGTGGTTATCACACTTTCTACCGACTTCTCGTAGCGATCGCATTTAGTGGGATCGAGGTCTTTACGTTTTCTAAAAGAAACAGTTGAATTCGCAACCATTTAAGTACTAAAAATATTCGTTTATTCGCGAATATTGTTTGGTCATACCTTGGTTTGTACTCCATTCCTGCTAAGCTCTTGCATTGGCTGGTTATTGCTGCTCTCTGTGATTGTGAAAGAAGCCATCGATGCACTGCACCACGATTCAATGTGAAACCAATCAAGCCTCCCTTAGTTTTTGCATCACGGTTTACTGTCTGCTCTATAGTTTGATCGCATGCAACTGCGGCGAAGCCATGATGACTTTGACGCTGAATGGCAAAATTTTTTGACATTTCAAGTCGAATTCCTGAAAATTCAGATGAACGGTATTAATTGTATGCATAGTTACATTTACACATACCTTGCCTGAATGCGGGAAGCGACAAGCAATCAACAGAAAATATGTGAGTGGACAAGAAAGTATTAAGTGGTTTTATTGTATATGTTTACATACTAGTTCTACATAAATGTTCCGCATAAAAAAGCTTGATGTACACTATATACCTGGATGTTTTTCATGCAAAGACGTCATTTCCAACCAGTAAGCTGTTCCATATCTTGCATAATTAGTCTTATTACACACAAAAAACCAAGGAAGCATTTGTCTGAATGTAGATAAATGGAGCTCCCAATCGATCTTTCGCGTTGCACGGACGAACATCAGCAATATACCTACAGTAAAAAGTTTTATTTACTTTGGTGCAAACGAAGCAAAGAGAATGAAAGAGGCCCTTAAGATATTGACCAAAGGTCGTTTCTTGTGCAGTTCGTTGTTTAATTTATGGAGCAACTCGAGTGTTCAGGGAACGTACAAATACGCTACGTTTTCATATGGTACGGCTGAAGTAAAAAACAGCTTTAGCCAAAGAATCATGAGTATGTTAACTCTAGCCTGCTGATCACAATCTTATAAACTTTGATTCTAAACGGAATGGCGAGTTGTATTAATGCTCCAGTTCGTCATCGCGGTAATTTTAACTTGCAACTTTGTATTATTAAGAGTTTCACATATACCTGTCATTTTAAGATAAATGCTCCAAAATGCAAACGTCTTTGATTTTTGCGAAGTTTCTGCCACAAATGAATCGTATTTATCACATATCGTCTCAAACTCCTGACTCAAAAGCTCCTCTTTGTATCGTTGCGTCGGAAAGCCGTCTGCCATGACTCCTACACATGTCCGAATTTTTCCTGTTCTGTGATATCCAAGCTATCCAGAAAGGCATCAAATCGAAGACGCTGTAATGCTTCATGCATGATTTTGTGGCAAAACACCGACCTATTGTAGTGTTTACCAGATAGCACGCCTTTAATTGATCCCTCATTCACTATCCCCGATTCGATCAGTATATCCTGCATATAGAAGAATTTTGCATGCGTCGTTATATATATATATTTTGGTATTGTAAATTTTCCAAAGTAGTTTTTAACATGCATTACCTTCAGCCCTGCATCTTCAAACAGCTTCGATATTGCCGACAGAAAGGACATAATTGTATGAAACTCTCCTAATCGCACGACCAGTTTGTTGTAAAACATCTCGTTTTTCCACCTCACTTGTTGCACCTTCGCGTATACAGCTTCGTCAAATACCATTACGATATGATCTAGTTGCAAGGCATTTGCAATGTCAACACCACTTTCGAGGATTGCGTTTATAGTTGAGTATTCAGTGGGCGAATTGTCAATGACAGGGAGATAACCGATTTCTTGATTCGTTTGGTATTTCTGTTTCATTAAGCATCGTATTGAATCCAGTCCATCCGGGAAAGGGACTTTCTTGGGAGTGATGAAACATTTTTACAAGTACGTATGCTAGATCCGATTTAAGTGAAATATTTGTTTTCTCATTTTCACCGTAATCTCTGATGTCATCAGGAATGTTAAATGCAGCAGTCTTTTTCACTCCAATGCTGTAAGGTTTTAGAGTAACGTCAGGCATCTTTAGCGATCGTTGGGTTTTCTTTATCACTGTTGTCTCTATATTGTCGTCGTCGTTGTTTTCTGAGGTAACCTGTTGGATAATGATGCCATTCGTGACGTGGGTTTGTTTTTTAGCTTCTTCCCCAAAATCGATATTGTCATAAACAACATTAACATGACGCTCTGCAACAAAGCCTTTAGGAATAATATTTGATCTATTCAACGACAGCTGTGCTAATGCGGTGTCATATGCCATGGTTGATGAGAGGGATACACAATGACCAAAGCCGTTTAAGAGAGTTACTAAGTTGGAACAACCCGATATTTGTCTTACAGCCATGGCTAAAGCTAGTGATTTTGGTGTTTGTGCTCTACCACCACTGGAAATGTATAACAGATCCTGACAAAGGGAAAACAACTTGAAAGAGCGATCGCCCTCTAAGGTTACATACTCTGCTACTTCAGGATCATCAGAAAACCCGACTACCCAAGCAAAAAAATTGAATATAACTGGAGGAACTAACTTTTTCACATTAGTAAAGTTGATATCAGCTGCAACTGGTGGCCACGTATTGTACCAATCTTGTGCTGCGGATTCACGAAAGGTTTCTCTTAGAGATAATGCAGCGAAATACATTTCTTTCAACGACGATCTTTCATTAGTACGGACTGCTGTTCGTTCGGTTTTATGATTATCTAGTATTTCCTCTTCACTATCCGATGACTGTTCTTGCGACACAAATGTCTCTGCAATCCTTCCTCTATCTAAACATGCTGCGAACACAATGTCACTCCGACGTCGCGCTTTGGGACTATGGAACACAAGCTGGGGAAAAGTATTTTTCAATCTTCTTTTCAAGCGAAACGTTTTGTAGCTTGATGCGTCTAAATTTTCAACCCGTGCGACGGTTTTATCGAACTCGTCTTTCACTCTCGTCATATCATAAATCTCTTGACCTTTGATAATTTTTGTCATGATAAACTCCTCGCTGAAGATGTTAAACGAACGTTCGAATAGTTTATTGTCAGTTTGTCCGTCTCTCTCGCTTTTTTCATGGTTTGCCACACATCTGGTATATTTTTTGTAACAATGAGTGTGATACTTTACTTCGAGTGCAATACAATCCTTTCCTTCGATGTGTAGCAGGATATGTTGGTCCGCTTTCTTCTTCGCAGCTTCCCTCAATTTCCCCCCATCAATTGTTTCAGAAGAGATAAGCTTGTCCAATTTGCGTTTTTTACTAATCTGTTGAAGAATAGAAATAATCTATTAATTAAGTGCCAATCTTACAAAATTTCGTAAATTAAAATAGAAGCTGATACTGTAACATTTAAAATTTCTTACTGAATCAGTGATGTACAAACTTTCTCTGCCACATATAATACAAGTAGGTGGTAGCACATGAGCATTTCTGGGTTTCACGCGCACAGTTTCATCAGTGGACGATCTAAGAAACTTTGCAGGCACCTGTGTCTCATCATTGGTGGAAAGCAAGATCTCGTCTACATTAGACTTTCTTTCAATTTCATCTATCTTTTCACATCGCCGTTTTGCGTGTGCGACTAAAGTTTTGTTGGTAAATTTTGAATAGCATTCCCTGTGGTAATAAAGGTTTTCAGGACCTGTTGCTGTATCCCCGTCGGCTACCACGCCGAATGATTTTTCCGCCACTTGTCTTTGCTCACCATCGAGCGATACCCATTTTTCCCGAAAAAGTAAAAACTTTTTAAAAGAAACTTCGGTAAAAGCAGTGAGAGGGCCACAATGCCCGTCAAAATGAATCAAACAGCGCGATTTAATTGTTTGTTCTGTCATAAACAATATACGTAGTGTATAATTAAAGATGTTCAAAACATTCAACAGAGTTTTTGCAGATATTTAAAAAAAAAAAAAAAAAATTATATTCCCGCGAAAAGGCGCGCGAATTTATTACATATAATCAGCGGAAAGTTTAAGAACGTTATGTTAGACAAAACAATAATGAGTAAAAGAGGATCATTTCGTAAATATTACATGAAGTTTTCTCAGATAAAATGGCGGCGAACGATTGCGAAATGTGTTGATTTCGTGAAACTTTGGCGGTGTTGTACTAAAAAACTGCAGGTTTGTAAAAATTACAACAAGTGAATTTGAATTTTACACATAATAATCTACAGATTTTGCTTGTCAAAAAGTATTCCCCGTGAGGGGGGAACAAAACTAAACGAAAATCCAGTCGAGAATACGGCCTATAAACAGCCCCTCCAAAGTATTCAATAGGAAGTTCATGCAAACTTTTCACACCATTTGGAAAAGTAATAGAAAGTAAACGAATACTAGACGATGCATCTCTTGTCAAGAACACTGCATTGCGAGTCGTTTTTGTACCAGATAAAGACCACCAAAGAATATCAGGTAGATTCACCTCTCCGGTTGAACGAACCAGCCACCTGTTGCCACATTCTATTTCCCACAATTGATAATCTGATCTAGAATCCAACAATAACATAACAGCACACCCATCAGAACTTATTGCAACAGAAGGGTCAGTAAACCTACATAACGGCGTTTCTTGATAACACAGTTTTTCGTTACGAATTTTTAAAATAGAAAGTTTCCGATCGCCGTCAATGGCAAGAACTCCATTTTTAAATGCAAGGACACGTTCGAAATTTACAATAGATTCTTCATGTTGACTTCGTAAGATATTTTCATTCCTAGGTTCATAACGATATTTAACAACCAGACCTTCACAGACCAACCAAAGATACAACTCTGACCACCAACATGCTAATGCTCGTTGTTTCAGTGCAACAATTTGCAATGTTTCCCCACTCTCGACACTTCTTATTGAAAGAAGGTAATTTTGAAAACAGCACGCCACATACAAAGTGTCTGGAGAGAGTGCACAGCAATCTATTTTGGCATTGTCAACAAAAGTAGCATCAGGCCATTGGAGAAGAGATTTGAAGGATAAAACACTGAATACTTTGGGAAATCCTAAAGACAAAAGAAAACTCGTCCCATCTAATTTCGAAATGTAAGTGACAAGAGTATCACAAGGCAAAAATCCAATCTCAAACACGTCAACGATCTTTTGATTTATGAAATCGTACACTACCAAAGCTAAATCATTTTTCAAATCATTTGTAAATGCTACACACTTTCTGTTTTTCCACACAAAAACTTTTGAACAGTATTTATTGGAAATTATAACTTTCTCACCAGATGGCAAACAGATGCAATTCATTTTCATTTTAACATTCGAGTCGGAAAACAAATAAGGAGGGGAAAACATTTGAAAGGAATCATTACTACACAAATTCTGGTCAACACGAATATTCGTGTTATCAATCTTTTCCAAAGTTTCAGATTTCAAGACGTTCATGTAATCTAAGACTGGGGAACCAAATCTTTCCTCACCCCTTATCCAAAGTAGAATGTACGAGTTACAATTACTAAACAAACAATAAGATCGCTCATCATACACATTCTCAACTTCAATCAATATATTCTTGCTTTTTACATCCCACACTTTGATTGACATTTTCTCTAATGTGACAAGTTTCATTCCACATGAAGAAAATGAACAGAAACTGATATCATCGGGGCCATGCGTGATGAAGGGGACCTCTTTCTTTTCTTTAATATTGATGCAGAACCGGATTGAATCGTATAAACAATAGGAAGAGGCTGGAGAAAAGGCAGAGAATTGGCAACGAGGTCTTATAATAGTAATTTGTGCCTCAAAGATAGTTGTAAGATCTGGTATTTTAAGCATTCGAACTTTTCGCTCATGCGGATGTATGCAAGCAAACATCGTATTGTCCGGTGACACAATAAATTCAAATTTAAGTGAACTGTCTGGAACCACAGCTTCGGGGACAATGCTTAAATTAGAATTGCTTTCAGTTCTCATATATTCTATCCAAAACTCATTTGTCGCACACAAGATGTCCCTAGCTACACTTTTGGAATTGAAGGCACCTTGTGAAAAATCAAAGTGTCCATTAGCGAGTGCTTGCAAATATGCGTAACAACTATCTTTTTCACAAGTCTCAACTATTCCACGCAGAGAGCGAACTTCTACCATTTCGGAGAAAAAAAGGTGTTGCATGATGCCCCAATGAATATCTTTCGAAAGTTTAGAACAGTACGTGCCAAGAATTAGCCTGAAAAAATAACTGTGCAGGCGATCAAAAAATTTTAGTCTCAAAAAATTTATACCAACATGCACCAACCAATGAAATTCCTCTACCTCGCCTGTACCGACCAAATATTTCACGCCATTTTCTAAAGCGTACATTTTCTCGGGTGAAATCTGGAATTCTAAAACTGACTTCAAAGCATCAATCTCGCAGAATTGTTGCTTACAAGCACGCCAGAGACGTCTATTGCCGTCTTCAACATCTGCAACGAACGCATGTTCCTCATAACCGTTCAATGTCAGCCAATCCCATAATGACTTATGATAAACAGTCAGACACTCATCGTAAACTGGAAGAATCTCTGACATTAGGTCAAGAAACTCTTTACGAATTACAAATTCGTCTTTAGAGAGACCCATGCATGTGAAGAGAACTTTTATTGGGAGGGGCTCCTTTGAAACGGCAACGACATTGATGAAACTCTTCAAGAGACATGAGGTGTCTTGCTTGAAACGTTGGAAGCCTATTTTCAAACGTTTGAACTGTTTTTCGTAATATCCCGAAATACCGTTGGAGATGTAATCACTTAGGTCGGGTTCAATTCCCACGCCCTTTTCTTTCAATTCACTGACTAAGTAATAAGCGAACAAAAACGATCCCTCACACTTTGACGTAACTAACCTTATTCTGTAATAATGAAGATTAGGTAAACTATGACGAACAAAAAGCTCTATGTCGTGGTTGTGATCTTTGTCATCAGGACGGATTTCCCACGGGTGAAGATGTTCAAGGATCTTTCGTACTTGAAGCTCTGGTCGACTTGAAATGAATATCTTAATCCAATCTGGCAGTTCACAAAATCTCTCAGATATCAACTCCAATAATTCGCTTTTCTCGTCAGTTTTGCTCTCGTCCAAAGCATCAACGATGATCAACATTGGGTCGTGTCTGTCAAGGGCATGGAGGGGGTCGTTCAAAAGAACACGAAATGCGTCTGACAGCGAGTCACGAGAATGTTCACGACGAAGAATTTCAGTTAATTTATCACGAAATCCTTCAGCATTATCACACATTTGACTGGCAAGAGACTGGAGGATTCTCTGAGGATTGCTAGAATCAGAATTGCGAAAGTCACAGAAATGGTGAGCTGCGAGTTGACCACGTTGTCTAAAAAGCTCGCAAAGCTTTGCAGACAAAACACTTTTTCCAACGCCAGGACCTGCAGTTAGGATCAAGACACTGGATTCTTCACTCTCAAACCAGCTTGAAAGTTTATCAAACAACCACTTTCTAGTGCCATCTTGAAATTTTCTACAAAGGTCACGAATCTTTCCAGTAAAGTCAAATTTAGCCAGTTGCTCGACATGCGAGAGATGAACATTTTCAACTGTCTTTCTTAGCTTCACTACTTCACTTTCAACATCGTTTAATTTTGACATAAAATCATCCTCTTTTTCTTTCCACTCTTTTAATCTTTCAATATAACTTTCTTCTTCAGGGCTAAGAGGAGCCACCTTTAATTCATCGATATCATTTTGAGAAATTCCCAAGTTGACTAACGGAACAGAAATTTCTTTCCACAATGTTTCAAACGTTACGTCGTTCAAACCAGCAGTCGGAATATGACTATAGACTTCATTTCTAAACATTTTGACTCTTAAAATATTTGCAGATATAGAAGTATCGCTGATTGGAGGCATCACATTCCATCCGGTTGCTGGTGCGGACAATCCACAAATATTTCGGAGCAGGACAGTCAACAGGGTAATGTCAAAGTTTTTTGAATCTGGTGTACCAGATGTTGGAAAGAGTAGATACCATTGCGAGGCTTTAATTACACCGTATCGTATTCTCTGCAAGGTCGCTCTGTTTGCATTCAAAACGGAAGCTAAGGTGGAAGGTGGATGCACCGCATGCAAAGCATTTCTCAAAGCATTGTTAGCTTTATCTACCAACAAATGGCATACCCTGGAATAATTAGCTTTAGCTTTCAATGGATCCATTGTTGTGTTTAAATAGTAACTTCGCAATCCCCTATAAAATAATCCAGAAAAACAAACTGTCAGGATGACAATTCTTATATATAACGCTGTTGTACAAAGGTTGTTGTATGGTTTATAGGCGTTTTGACGTGATATAAACGCGTTAAAAGACTTTTCAAATGGATTACCGTTTCGTGAAAATATGGAAGACTTGGTCTACCTCATTTTCGCTAATCTACTTTAGAATTTTGGAGTCCTAATGGGCAATGACTTTCAACAACCAAACGAATTATGATGAAAATTAACAATAAATCAACAACTTGTTTTTATTTTTTTATAATATTCAGAAGATGCTACAGATATCATTCTCGAGAACCCAGTGATTTTTCGTCTAGTTAGCTGTAATAGTTTATTGCATGGACTACGGGCATGTAAGTTATAATGAGTTCAGAATTCTGTTGCACAGTGGTCTATATATTTGCAATACTTTTTACGCCGGTATATATATACAGTAACTTAATCAGTTCGGGAGTTTCAGGATTGGTGTCTTCGTTATTTTGTTATATCTTAAATTGTTTAACATTAAGAGCAGATTTGCGTAATAATGGCGTATAGTTGGCTGGCATTGTGATGTTGAAATTACAGTAGCAAAATAGTGTAAACCTTTGTTGTGCATTAACGGTGGTCATTGATGACGATAATATTTTTTGATTGGTCATCGTAAACGCTAATTAATTTTTGTGTTTTATTTAAACTTTCTTCAATAAAATAACATTTGTTTGTGTTGTTCTCAACTGTGAGTTAGAGTGAATCCGTAAAAATACAGTGCATTGTCGTTTTTCTTACCCATTAAGAAATAAAACTGCAAAACAGAATATAGTATCGATATAAAAAACAAGATCTATTGAAATAATTTTATAGGAAGTTTGCTTCAAAGCATTTTGGATTACCGTAGTCAAACTCCTAAGCTCTTTGTAGCTTTTTGTATTTTCGAGGAATTCATTTTATATTTCGAATCGAATAACATTTAGGTTGGCAAGGCATCTATAAATGAGTATGAACTCTATTGTTTATGTTCAGAAGCTTTATATTGAAGACTGGCACTTGTACGGCACACCGGAGTTAACGCCAGAACAAGCGTCTTGTTTTCTTTGACAAATGCTGTTTTTGAAATCAATTATATCGTCCTGACATCAATATTATCAGTGTCAATCGTAAACCTACACACATTGAAAACCGGGTTGAAAAAACTGGCTGAACCAGGGGGGAAACGAACTTCTTTCTTTGGATCGTAATTCTCGTAAGTCCGTGTGGTCGTGAATTGTGTGGTAGGTGGTGGTTGTGTTGTGTGGTAAGTGCATGGTCGTTGTGAAGTGCGTGGTAGGTGGTGGTTGTGAGTTGTGTGGTAGGTGGTGGTTGTGAATTGTGTGGTAAGTGGTCGTTGTGAAGTGCGTTGTAGGTGGTGGTTGTGAAGTGTGTGGTAGGTGGTGGTTGTGAATTGTGTGGTAGTTGGTGGTTGTGAAGTGCGTGGTAGGTGGTGGTTGTAAATTAATGGTAGGTAGTGGTTGTGAAGTATGTGGTAGGTGGTGGTTGTGGAGTGTGTGGTCAGTGGTGGTTGTAAATTAATGGTAGGTAGTGCTTGTGAAGTATGTGGTAGGTGGTGGTTGTGAAGTGTGTTGCCGGTGGTGGTTGTGAATTGAGTGGTAGGTAGTGGTTGTGAAGTGTGTGGTAGGTGGTGGTTGTTTAATGTGAGTGGTAGGTGGTGGTTGTGAAGTGTGTGGTAGGTGGTGGTTGTGAAGTGTGTGGTAGGTGGTGGTTGTTTAATGTGTGTGGTAGGTGGTGGTTGTGTTGTGTTTAGTAAACAAAACGCTTGCTCGCGGATCTCGTCCCATACGAAAACAACATTTTCCGTGGTTCCAATGGTTCCACGACGTCCCTAGGTTACCGCAAACACTTTGCTAGATAATGTATGGATCCCATGATATTTCTTACTTCTGGACCATCATTGGGTTTGCCCATATTCCTAATTTAATTTTGGATAGTCCAAGCATTCCAACTGATGTATGTGATTACCTACCTATGTAGGGAACTGACGTGACGTTTGTTTGAGTGTTCCGAATTTGTTCTGGCAACACTCGAATCAACAATAATCTTTTTTGTTTTATAATAATGTAATAAACTGTACAAAAAAATTACACTTATGTCTCCCAAATACTCTCAGCTCACTAGAATTCTCAATAGTAATACCACAGAGCATACAGAGGTTTGACTGCCATTAATTTTACGTACCCCTGGCTTAGCCAGTGCGCTCAAGAGAGGCCTTCTCCCCCCGGGAAAGCATGCATATGGCGGCGGCTTGAACACGTAAACAGCCGAGACAGAACTATCTGGAGAAATCGTATTTTTGACAAAAACGTTGCTCAATTTTTTTCTCATGAACCAGATTTTGTTAGTTCTTATCCTTTAGAAGAGTATAGAAGTGGGAGCAATCTGTTTAAATAAAGTGAAAATGTGGAATATATGGCTATTTATAATGTTCGGGGGGATAGGGCCTATCTTTAGCGCACTGGCTAACAACATGGCCGCTAGGAACGCATAATTAATGCAAGGTCAAACCTCTGTATGCTCTGTGGTAATACGTTGTCAACACGTTTTTTTTGTCAGGCGATTCGCCTGATCTTAAGGAGGTCACCCAAGAGCAGGTGACAACCACTGATCTATATGTAGTTCCTATCACTCTCCCCTCTAAAATTAAATGTTATTTACATTTTATGGTAACCAAACAAAAACTTGAACTGAAAACCTAAAACTAGCTTGGGTTTAGAATTACCGTCCATGTTCTATGAAAAGTTCTCTTGCATAACAGTTTCTCGAATTCGATCAGTTGCTTTAGTTGCTGCCGGTCTCTTAAGGCGGATTTCCACTTACAGCGAAATCGTTCGCTGGCGAAATATTTGCATATTTTCTTTTGAATTGAGAACACTCAAGTCGCACTAATCTATACCTATGTCTTTCGCTAGCGAACGATTTCGCTGTAAGTGGAAATCCGCCTTTACTCCGTCGTAGCGTTACCTCTTTCGGTTCACTTTCCTCTGGATCTGGTTGCGTCTTTTCATTTCGTCTAATTTCTAACGAACAGATCAAAGACAAAAGCCTTTGTATGACATGTTCCTTTGACAAGATCTCCACACCCCTAACGACTTCGTCCTTTCCTTGTATGAGCGCTGTCACTTTTCCCTTTCTCCATTCGCCTCGATTCTTTCCGTCACCTACAACTAGAACTATTTCACCAATCTCCTGACAATCAGCTCCCTTTCTGTTGTCGCGATGATGCTCCATTAGGCTGTGTAAATACTCTGACGGCCACCTTTACCATTAGATTTCCGTTAGATTCTCGTTTCTCCTTTTCTTCTAAAGCCCGTACTAAACTCGCTCTCTTCTTGTTAAATGGCATATATTCTGCTTTTAAATCTCTATTCCATTGCCTTATTGCCCTCACTGAATCACTCCCCGTCTCTATTTTCAACTCCTGTAACTCTGATACCATATCATTTAGTTTATTTTGAATATCTTGTGTTCTCTTACACACCTGTTTTATTTCGTCGAAATTCTCAGTTTCTACGAGTTCTTGAACGTCTTCCAGGTAGAATTTAAGCTTCTCGATCTCCTTACGGATTTTTTTCTCTCGCTCTTTTTCCTCGATCGAAATTTTCCCGGGTTTATCCGCACTGCTCTCTTCTTGTGCTTCGTCCATTATATTGAATCTTCAACTGTGTCTAAATTTCACGATTTTCTCACCCGCAATAACTCGCTGTTTTATTCTGGTCACGGCACCAAAATGTTTCGAATTTGTTCCGGCAACACTCGAATCAACAATAATCTTTTATGTTTTATAATAATGTGATAAACTGTACAAAAAAATTACACTTATGTCTCCCAAATACTCTCAGCTCACTAGAATTCTCAATAGTAGAGACCTTTAGCTTGACGTTTACGGCAAACGCCAAACCGCTAGCAAAGTTTGTGTTTTAACCTCGCTATCTTTAAGTGTGCGGCAATTTCGCTAAATTGGCAAACGTTCTACATAAAACTTGTGATGTTGAGCAGTAATGTCAGAAAGCAATTGGCTATTTCTGATGTATTTAGAAAAGCAGCAAATTCAACTTTGCCGTATGTGTTTCTCGTTCGCCGTATAAAATTTAATGCTTGAACGATTGCATACACCATCAGCCGTTCAAGCATTAAAATTTATATGGGAACGTGAAACACATACGGTAAAGCTGAATTTGCTGCTTTTCTAAATACATCAGAAATAGCCTATTGCTTTCTTACATTACTGCTCAACATCACAAGTTTTATGTAGAACGTTTGCCAATTTAGCGAAATTAAAGATACCGAGGTTAAAACACAAACTTTGTTAGCGGTTTGGCGTTTGCCGTAAACGTCAAGCTAAAGGTCTCTCGTAATACGTTGTCAACACGTTTTTTTTTGTCAGGCGATTCGCCTGATCTTAAGGAGGTCACCCGCGAGCAAGTGACAACCACTGATCTATATGTAGTTCCTATCATGAGCAGGATTTTGACATTGTTGAGTTTCACTTTTCTTCCTCTACAACGTTTTAACAGCAGCTTCAACTGAACATCGTGGTCTTTCACTGCTCTGAACTTTCGCAATCGATTACGAATTGAAATATCATCAGTAGCCGTCTTAATCCGTTCTAAATCTTCGATAACTTGATAAAAAAATTATTCTCCGGCTCGAAAAGCTTTTGTGGTATTTAAAGAACGCAGCAAAAATATAATAAATACTGACATTGTTTAAACAGTTAGAGTATTTACGCGGTTTGGGCCGTCTAGTCTACATTCCTAGAGACTTGTAAGTTTAATATTGCCAAGGGTACGGTGTGATATTCGAGTGTAAACGAATGTTAAATAAGGCATTTTCCATTCGTATGATCGTATGAATGTTACTAATGGTAAGGTCATTTAGCGTGCATGCGTGAGACCGTGCTCAGCAAGAGACAATCCAATTAAACATCG